TTTTCATGAAATTTTTGTTCATGACCTGATTTGGTTGTGAACCAAGGCGTTCGTGAGCTGAGGCACCACGGTCTTTGCCTATGGAAGAAGAGAGCTGCATGCTCAAGCAGGTCAGTGGTTCTACTACTGGATCCCTCCTGTCACGTGGAGTCCAGAACTGAGCACTATCCAGTCGCGGGCACTCCAGAGTCATGCAGAGTGGTAGTAAGATCGCTCTCGATCCAGAAGCCACGCAAGGAACTGTGGCACTAAGACTGGACGCAAGCGGACTGCTGCCTCAGTCAGACTTTACAGAGGGAGGCATTGCCAGGGTAACATCACTACAATGCTGCCGCAGTGCGTTCTTGTGACCGAGAGTAAACAGATGCTGTCTGTTTATGCACTGGTGCCACTTGCCTCAGGACTAAGTGGCTAGTCCCCTTGAAATCTACAGCCAACTTGCACAAGCTGAGGTTTTGGATTTACAGACATTTAGGTGAATGTTCACAGTACATTTACAGGGGGTGATGCCCTCCCATGGTGCCATTCTCCCATAATGGTCCCACGGTGCCTCTTTAACCTACATGGTTAAAGTAAAATGGAGCTTCTCCGAGAATACACATGGTTTTTGGTCACTTGATAGGGTGTGCACCTGAATGGAAAGAACAGTTGTGCAGGGTAGGCCAAACGCCTTTCTGGCCGGAAGTACTGCCTGCGAGGTGATGCGAAGCACTGGGGCTCAAACCACCAATGCCAGCCAAAGGGTGCAGCACCTCACCCTGCGCATCCAGACAGGGCGGCTGCCTGCTCTGGGACCTGCTGTGGGAAACGCACTTCAGGGGGACACAAGGAGTCCTCTAAGAGCCAATGGAGTCCCGTGCAGTTACTACCCCGGGCCGCCCCCTGCAGCCAAGCAAGGTCCCCCACTGGCAGGCTTGGGGTGAACCTTTTCAGAACCGTGCCTCTGGAGCATCTGGGGGCTTCCTCTTGCGCTCAGCCCAGGCCCACCACACAAGCCAAGCTATAGGCAATCTGTGAATGCTGGCACACCACTGGTTGCACAACCAACACCCTTCCCATCAGATGCAGAAAAAGGGCGCTGCAAACTGAACTTGCCCAAGGAATCGATGGATTCCCATCCCCAGATGGATTCTTCACACAACCATGGTCTGAACTGCATCCCCATCTGCTGAACAGGCAGTTTGATCTCACATCACTAACCCCAACAGGAGTTCAGAAACATCAGTGAAGCTCAGACGCAAATATCCCCGTGGATGAACAGAGGGGAGAGAAGGTGGGACACTCAGGACTGAGATTCTGAAACAGGGACATAAGAGGCATTACTTCCACATGGGTGTTTATCAGGTTTTACCCTGTTTGCACTTTTGGATTGAAGCCAAACTCAGAACCAAATTGTGGTTGAAGTCTGCACATTTCTGAGTTTGCAATGCAATGTGTGGATCATCCAAAATGGACTCAGCAGCAGCATACATTTGAAAAAGGCACATGGAAAAATGCAAACTTTTGAAAAGTCCACACAAATACACTTCCATCCATTGGGCTAAGTATATGTTTTCATGTGAACAAAGGAAAAATGCACTCTGAAATGGAACTGAGACAGACTAGAGCTGTGATGGGATTTGGAGAATTTCACTGAGCCCCAGTTTTACTGAGTTGTACATCTCTACCCTGAGGATGAGAGGGCTGGTGGGAGAAAGAGAAGCCAAGAGCTGCAGCTCAGAGGAGCAGGGGCACAGGGTTGCCATGGCTAGCCCTTGCTTATTCTCTGTGATCAGCATAACCTGCCTGAGAAGGGGGCTGTTGTGCTGGTTTGTGCTGTTTTCAGGCACCACCTCCAGCTGCCAGCATAGCAGAGAGTCCGGTGACAAAACGAACCAACGGAACCAAGCCAAGGTTCCACTTGGATGCCAGGAAGCACTTCCTGACAGTTGGGACCCCGAGGGTATGGACTGGGCTTCCACGGGAGGTGCGGGTGTTCAAGGACAGGCTGGACATGCACATGGTGGGCGTGTCGTGAGAGAAGCCGGCTGCAGCCGGGGTCCGACTGGATGGCCCTGGAGGCCCCTTCTATGCTTCTACCTGCCCTACCAGGAGAGCCAGTGATGTGCAGAGGCCTGGACTGCACTTTAGCCCCCATTCAGCCATGAAGAGCAGTGGGTGGCCAGCTGCAGTCTCTCAGGGCTGTAGTGAGGACAAAGTAGGGAGAAGGGGGATTGTGCAGGGCACTTGGGGGAAGGCGGGAACAATGTAGGTGTGCAAAATGTCCTGGTTCCCTGCTTGGAGCCACATCCTGAGCCACAGCTCTTGCTGCAGCTTGAGAGGTAAGAACGTCTTTTGCCAGAGATGCAGCAGGATGCTCTGGAAATGGGCAAGATCCATTAGGAAACTGCCAGGGAGGCATCCCCATCGGATCCTGTGCACAGGTGGATGGCCCGCACCAAGGTCCTCGTCCCATGAGCAAGATCCACTAACAAATATTTTAACTGTCGCACATGGAATCAGACAACAGATCAACAGTGCTGCTGTGCTAATTCTAATCCTATAGCCAGTGAGAGTTTTCCAAGTGGGGGAGACAAACACACCAGCACATGGTATCTTTACAGCACCATACTACAGTCACTAGTCTCCCCCCACCCCCCTGAACAGACTTACAGATCCTCTTTGCTTCCTCTGAAAAAGCCCCTCTTGTCTCACATGGATTAAAAACAAAAACAGAAAGCAGCACTTTAAGCCCACACATACACATGTATATATGCATACCCTCTTTACTGACATGGCTCCCAAGTCTGCATAGTTTGTGAATGGGTAGCAACCAACCACAAAGCTGAGTAAGCACTCTCCCCAGACTCACCGCCAGGAATGAGTGAATCATTCATGTCATCAGAATTTACCAAATTCACACCTGTTGAACTAATGAATGAAGCAGAATAGAACCAAGAATGAAAATTCTCACTTTTCAAAATGTTGTATTAGGTTTTTCCACCCAAAACTCTAAATACCATGGGGAAAATATGGTTAAAATATGCTCACAGAAATGCACCCAATGGAACATTGGAAAGCATTCACATCACAATGTGAAGTGCACAGCAAAATCCACGCATAAAAATCTCCAGGGCACTTTTACAGTAAACTTCATAGATCGACATGGAATTTGGCAGAACTGAACTTAGCACTGGAATAAAATGAGAAACTGAACTGAATTGAAAATGACAGATTCATTCATCCCTATTAACAGCCAAATTAGGCATCTCCTTTCAAAGCTATCACCAAATTTGATATTATTGAATTAGGAATGACCAAGAATTTGTTCTGCAGAAAGCAATTATCTATTAAATACTATATAGAAACAAAAAAACAGAGTGAGTCAGAAGGGTCCTCCTGGGCCATCTAGTTTGACCCCCGGCTCCAGCCAGCTCCTTTCATGACATGCCTACTATATGCTCTTGCTTAACAAATTTATCACCAGTGGGGCATAGTTCACTCTAATTTTGCTTTGCATACTTTCCACCACAAACATGTTCTTCTCTGGACCTTTTGGTACATGCACACAGGTGTGTTACATGCTGTATCTGCTGACCTATGGCATGTGTGTAAGAGTGTTATCCCTGAAAGCCTAATTGACAATACATGGGTCAGCCTTGCAGGTCAACTGGCCTCTGTCCTTCATGCTTTTAAAGCCTTTTCACTGCCTTACAGATTTTATTTGGAAGGCAGTGGAGACTCCCAGTGGGAGTGTAAAACCCTGTTGAGGTAAGCTTGGACCACCAGCTAGCACAGAGCAGGAGTGCTTGCCTACTCGCTCCTCCTGCTCTGCTCTTTCCTTCTGGGGTGTCCAGCGACAGTATCTTGGAGTGGGAGGAAAGAATGGCTGCCAGGGCTTCAGGAAGCATGCGACCTGGTTGTTGCAGACTCTCCCTCTTCCGGTCTTCCACAACAGCTCCTTGAACCCCTCTCTGGCATCACTTCACACCACAGACAATAGTCAAGGTGGCTCTTTCTGCAGTGGCAGCAAGATGGATCTTGGCTACCAGTTCTAATTCTGAGGTAAGGTGCTGTCACCAGCCTTGGAGCTGGGGATTCACATTATCCTCTGACCTGCGAAGACAAAGTTCCCTTGAAGGCTCAGTCTCTAATGTATTCATGGTTAAAATAGCAATAGCAAGAATGGGGGGGGGGGGGGGGGGGAGGAATTAACACAGGCCAGCCATTCTCAGACACACACGCTTTTATTGATTGTGTGTTTATTTGTTTAATTGAAGGGACTGGTTCACTGGCATGCAACACACACCAAGTCTGAAAGGGCATTTAATGGCTTTTAGTCATCGCCACTCAGAGGCAGGGCACTGGCTGGAAATGTCAGTGCTCCTGGACAGTAAATCACACAAGGAATGAAACCGGGTCAGGGTGGGAGTTTCTAAATGATGACCCTGCTAATTCAATGATTTCCGGAGAAGTTGCTGTGCCACAAAAGCACATTTTAGCATTCCAAGATAAACAGCTCTCTCCTGCATGGACAAGAAATCCAAAACAGGGACCTGAACAACAGAGTACAAACTGAGTAACACCACTCAAAAGTGACTTTCGTCACCCATGTCAGTTTCTTATTTGAATAAAAACAATTAATGAAGAGCAATTCCTTAATTGGCTTTTCCATCCCTATTTCAGACTAGATGGCCCGGGAGGTCAGACTAGATGGCCCGGGAGACCCTGTCTGACTTGCTCTGTTTTCTATGTTTCTATTTCATTAAGGCATATGAAAGAAACAAGGTCTGAGAGCAGATGGAATTTTTAAGTTGCATGATCCATTGCTGGCTTTGAATACAATATGAATGCTCCTTTCTCCAAAATGGCTAATTTGCCAGTTGATATTCAGGCAGCGGGATTTCATGAAGCAGCTCCCACCCTTTAAAAGAAATGATGTACGGGTTCAAAGTGCATACCAACATATGAACATAGAATTATTCCTTTTATTAGTAGTATTAATATCATTACTAAAGAAAAGACCCTCAATACTGCAGGCAAGGAAAAACAGATATTATACACCAAGGAGGAAAGATCAATATAAAGGGGGAAATGTTCTAGATATAATTGAAGTCATATATTTTTACATGACTTCAGCAATACATCCAATTACTGCTATTTATCAAAGGAGAGACAACATTAAACCTGGCAACATTCCCACCCCCCCGCTCCTCAAATTTTAGTGGAATGGGGCTGGTAAGGGGAAATCATCAGAAAGATAAGATTAGGGTGGGATGGGGGAGATACAAATAATAAATAATTCAATATTCCTCAGGAATGCTCTGGGAGGAAAGGCCTGGCTGATTCAAACATCAGACATGGGGCCGACAAGAGAGATATTGATTTAGACAATTCTATCATTACTATTCCAGCTTGAACCCTTCAAAAAGCTGCTTTTTTGCCCCAGTGTTATTCATTGCAGCTAGCGATCTTCTGCTTCTCCCTCCTGCCCCTTTGAACTGGTTTCCCCAAATTTACATCTGGAGCCTAAAATCCTAAATAAATATACAGATAGAAGGACCAAAGAATCAGGAGAGAAAAGTTAATGAATCTAGCTACAGAATGGTTGGAAGGTTTCCGTACTGTTGTTAAACCCTAGATATGTTTGCTGTGTATTCAGCCTTTATCTTTGTGAATGAAGTCCCCAGCTGAAGTCCAACCAAATCTGGTTCACGATCTGCAGCTAGCATGTTGCCATTTGATTTTTTTTAAAGAAATCCACCAGATTTTATTATTTTGGGACTATTTTAAGAACTGTTGAATTGCCAGCATTTTGTTTAAAGCAAAAAGCTGAAACACTAGTAGCAGGCTCTTCCTTAGACAAATAATTCTGGAGCGATTGAGGGCAGGCTGAGGGTTGTACATTATTAGTTGCAGGATAAATCTAAGGAAATTCCAAGGAATACCACAAGGACTGGATGTCCATGCAATTCTGTGTAGTCTTTGATCTAAGTGACACTAAAGCTAACTTACAGGTTCAGTGAGATGAATGCAACAATTCTAATTCACTTGCATGACAGTAAATCCCATTGCATCCAAACAGGCTTACTTTAGAGTAGATTCATGTAACAATTGCACTGTGGGGAAGGTGCATGGGGAGGAAGTCACATCTCCTTAAAAATGTGGTTGAAATGGCCCCGTGTAAAGTAAGTGGGGCCTGGCAGGGTGGGCAGCATGTTGGATCAGGGAGGACTGGAATCCAGTTCCCATGCGCTCAAGGAGCTCCCAGGGCGGGTTTGGGCCTGTCACTCACTCTCAGCCTGATCTACCTCACAGGGTTGCTGTTGTGAGGATGAAATGGAACTACCTTGGGTGCTTCACAAGAGGGAAAAAAGGAGGGATATAAATATAATGTGAGGTGGCTGGATGGAGTGACTGAAGCAATCAGCGTGAGCTTAGGTGGACTCCGGGGGATGGTGGAGGACAGGAAGGCCTGGAAGAGTGTGGTCCATGGGGTCGCGATGGGTCGGACATGACTTCACGACTAAAAACAATAAATATAATGTGATACTACTATTAAGAAACACATGGATACTTGCATCTTTGCACATGGGCCTTAGAAACAGAAATAAATATCGGTATGTATATAAATATAAATATGTGTGTTGTGAGGAGGGTAATAATACTGGTGTTGGGACAGATGCTAAATGCTTGTCTATAATATCAAAAACATCCAGAAGACAAAAGCTGTGCACACTCAGCAAGGATACTCAGGTGATGGACAGCTGGGCATCGTTCAGCTTCTTGTGTCTCTGACTGGCACTACCTCTTCTGGTTCTGCTCCTTTGCCCATCCTGAGATTCCTGATCCCCCATTTGGTTTCTGTGGTCCCTTGGAAGGCAGCATGGCTCCCTGTCTCACTGGCTTCACCGTTCACTCAGAGGGGAGAGCTGCCATGCGCAGAGTAATCCCACATACACATGGCAGCCTTTGTGTGATAATTTTCATTCTGGATGGGAGTGGCCTGCTGCTGTGCCCACTCCCAAATCTGAATAGTTCCAAACAATGGCAAAAACCATAGTACATCTTTCCAGTATCATAG